GTGTCGCCCGCGCGATCGGCCGGGACAAATGTGCGTAGCTCGCAGGGAACGCGAGGTTTCAGTACTACGATGTAGTCCTCGCGAGAGAGGCGAGGAGTTTGACGCGGACGCCACTTGCGTTGCTTCGCTGGCTGCGAGGACGGAGCAGAGGTAGGCACACCGCCGGAGGGATGGCGCGCCGGCGTTCCTTGCAAGGCTGGGGAATGGTGGCCCGCCGTGGCGTCTCGTTGTTGTTGAGACGCAGACTTCGATTTCGCTTGCTTGCGTTGCCACAGTTTCACCATGTCGTCGAGGTATTCATCTTCTGATGGCATAGTGTTTTCGGAGGATGAAATCTCCATGGACAGCATTTGGCTTGAGGTAGGATCATAGCCCGTAACCACGTTAGCGGCCGCCATCGCCGGGCTGAGAGCCCTTAGCGAGGCGGCGTTGTAGCCGGGAGTGAAGGACGTCCCTCAAGTTGTCAAAACTGGACCCACCTGGACGAAGGTGTTGTCTAGGCGAAGCGGAGAACTTGGCGGTGACGATAAATCCAAGTTTCATGGGTACCAAGGTGGATGTCCGCAGAAATAGCAGAAAATCTACGGAGGCGATGTGGAGTGCGTCCGTCACCATGGAGCGCTCGCAGCGCCCCCCCCGCGGACGCAGAGCTGTCCGGGTAACGTCATCGGTGTCAAATGCAGCATGTCACATTTCGCACCAGTTGGCGCTTGGCCGCGCTGACGGATGCTGGCAGCGTCTGGTTCAAACTATAGAGCGCTCGCGTTTTGCTGGCGCAGCGTCGCTACACCCAGCGTGCGCGCGCGTCAACGTTACGTCGGAGTATATTGCGCCCTTCATGATGCGCTCGCTGCCGTTTCGCTAGCTTCACATATAGTAAACTTGGTATTACTAGACGTAAATGGACGACGAAATTATGTGAATGGTGCAAACATGAAAATCATGACACGCGTGCCGTGTAAAAACATGACAACATACCACGCTCATTATGCACTCATGGCCATTTCGCAAGCTCCACATATACCAATTTGGGTATTACGTGGCCTGAATAAATGACGAGTGTAATTGATAGGCGCAAACATGATAATCATGACATGCGTGTCACCTAAAACATTACTACATGCTACGCTCGTAGCGCGCTCGCAGCCGTTTTTCTAGCTTAACATATACGTCAACGATACGTTGTAGTATTTGGGCCCTTCGTGATGCGCTCGCGGCCATTTCGCTAGCTTCACAGATAATATACCAAATTTGGTGTTACGTGTAGTCAATGGACGAGGAAGTAGCTCCACATATACTAAATTTAGTATTACGTCACGTGAATAGACAACGAAAGTAAATGACACGTCCAAACATAATAATCATGGCATGTGTGTCATGTACGGCATAATTTGCCTCTGCCTCATAACGTTGTGCTGATTTTAAAGTGGCCTATCAACGTTCCTCATTCGTGCTTCGCATATCATTGATTCCCCCTGTACGTGGGATTTGCCATTTTTTGTGTGTGTCTGTGGATGTTGTCCTCAATCGCAATGTCCTGTTGAATTGTAATTGATGTTCACTGTTCGTTAGAATAAATTTCTCGAAACACACACGTCTCGGTTGCTTATTGCTCTCCCCTTAGAGAAACAAATAAATGGCAGCATATCCACGGGGTGAATGATGGAGAATGGGGCGAAGCATCCGACCGTCCATTCGCTTTTGCTTCCATCCGTCCATGCGTCCGTCTGTGTGACTGTCCGTGCGTCCATACGCCCGTCCGTGCGTGCGCCTGTTCGTGTGTCCGCACGTAAATTCATGCGTCCGTCCCTGCGTTCGTCTTTGCATCCGCCCCTGCGTCCCTCCATACGTCCATCCGTGCGTGCAGCCATCCGTGCATCCGTCCATGCATCTGTCTGTGTGTCCGTTGGTCCATCTAGTCCACACTCTAAGTACCACCATCTCGCATATTTTCATCATATATTCTGCATATAGAAGCACCGCCATCCAGCGGACATTCCAAGGACTAAACGAGAGGTGGCACACGCACAGTTTCTTAGGGGTGGCGCTTCGTGTCTACTTCCCACCTTTAACCACCTCAAATTCATGGTATATACTAGTTCACTGTATTCATGGAACTGCGGCCGAACGCTCGCAAAACCTTTCTAAAACCAAGGAGGTTATGCCCAGCGAGTATAACGTAGCAACCCTTTCTTGTCAGATAGGGCTCAATGTACATGCCAATGGCTGCTAATATAGGGAATGAGAGACAGGAGAATTCGGCTTTTACATAACGGGCATGCTGCAAACTTTTTTTTTGTTCAGCAGCGCTTGGGAGAAATCTCCCACCGGCACCAACTTGCAGGTCAAAGCGTAAGACATGTTCATGTTAAGTACTACGACGAGGGACGAACGGGTGCCGCTGTAAGAAGCTTCGCCCCTAAAATTGGCAGAGCCCAAGTACAGTGGGAATCGATCATATGCGGAGCACGAATGAGGAAGCTTGATATGCCACTTTTAAATCACCACAACGTTACTGGCTAGAGGTAAATTATGCCGTACACGACTTCTGTGTCATGATTATCATGTTTGGATGTGTCGTTTACCTTCGTCATCTATTCACGTCACGTGATACCGAATTTAGTATAAGTGGAGCTAGCGTAGCAACCGCGAGCACGCTATGAGCGTGGTATGTAGTCATGTTTTTACATGACAGGCGTCTGATGATTATCACGTTTGCACCAGTCATATACCTTCATCATCCATTGACGTAACGTAACAACATATTTGGTATATGTGGAGCCTGCGAAACGGCCTCGAGTGCATCATGAAGGGCCCAATATACACCAACGTAACGTTGACAGCGACGCTACAATAGCAAAACGCAAGCACACTATAGTCTGACGCGAAGCGCGACCGGCGCGACCAGCGCCCATCGGCGCGGCCCGACGGCAACCGGGGCGAAATGCGACATGCTGCATTTGGCGCCAATGCGTTACCATGACCTACTGCGTCTGCCTGTTCTCAAGACGGAGGGACGCCGGATGCTCTGAAACGCGCATGCGTCAAAGCAACGCAGCACGCACCTGCGAGTATATAGTAGGACCAGCGCCTGGCGTGGGAACGCCGGCGTCACGTGACGAAACGAACACCCGAGCACGCGCACCGGCGCCTTGACTGTAGCATGTAGAAATGTTTTCACACGACACGCATCTCATGATTATCATGTTTGCACCAGTCACATACCTTCGTCATTCATTGACGTCGCGTAATAACAAGTTTGGCATATGTAAAGCTAGCGAAACCGCCGCGAGTGCATCTAGAGTGCGGCATGTAGTCATGTTGTTACATGACACGCATGTCATGATTATCATGTTTGGATGTGTCATTTACGTATGTCGTCCGTTCACGTCACGTAATACTGAATTTGGCATATGTGAAGCTATCGAAATGGCCGCGAGCGCATCATAAGTGTAACATGTAGTCATGTTCTTACATGACAAGCATCTCATGTTTATGATGTTTGCACCAGTTTCATATCTTCGGCATCCATTCACGTCCCGTAAATTGAAGCTAGCGAAACGGCCGCCAGGGCATCATGCGTGGCATGTAGTCATGTTGTTACATGACACGAATCTACTAATTATCATATTTGCAGCAGTAAATACCTTCGTCAACCATTCACGTACCGTAATACCAAATTTGGTATATGTGACGCTAGCGAAATGGCCGAGAGCGCATCATGAGCATGGCATGTAATCATGTTGGTACATGACACGCATGTCATAATATTTATGTTAGGGTCTGTGGCTTGTGTTCGCCATGAAATCATGTCATGCCATACCAGTTTTGCAACATGTCATGCGAACGAAACCACTGCAACAGCAGTAAGACCATGAAATGTAAATCATAACATTCATGACATACGTATTATAATTTCTGTGTTCTGACTAGTCCAATATGCTCGTCATATAGTCATATTATGCAATACCAAGCTTGGTATCGATACCATTATTCAAACGGCCAGGGGAGCTAAAGGTCGTAGGCGGCTATAGATAGGTAGATAGATATATACACTCAAAGTTGCCTGAGTTCGCCAAGAAATGCTTCGCATTTAGTGAAAGGTGAGGAGCGGACACTCCCGTAGACCCCGGCGGCCCAATCGACGCTAGCCCACCTAGGTGGTGGTTGGTGAGAGCAACTGACCTGCGCTTCTTGTTTCAGATTAACTGGCGCAAATTTTGGATTACTGTGCGGAACTGACGTTTGGCTATAGCTGGAGTTCATAATTTCATACCACTTTTCTCAGCCCAAATGGCAAGGCTATTGTTTGCCGTTTTGACTTAGCGATTCCCTACTTTGTCAAGCTCAAAATTATTCGTGCGAAATAAAGCCATGACGTAGTTTTTCTTTCGACTAAGTTATAATAGAAAGAGATGCAGGTGATTACGTCCTTGGCAGCTGGAAGCCACCGGCTTCGCAGGTGTTTCTGTCGCGCGCTTCCGCTGCCTTCTTCTGCGGCGGACGACATAGAGCACTTAGAAGCGTTGCCTGCACTCCTTGTCTGCTGAAATATCGGCCATAATAATAATTTTGACCCACAGTGACCTGAAACCCATTGTATTTTCAAATACTTTAGCTGAGACAGAGCTAAAGATCGCAACTTCGTGATGGCACGAGACGTATGAAAAGAAGTCTGACAAAACTTAAAGCGTTCTTATACATTTTTAGTTGACTTATGTTGCCTTCCTGATTTGCGCACCTGACACTTGTTTTTTTATTTTGTCTTTTTTTTCTTGTGTGTTATAAATGTTGTACCCACCCCCTCTGTAATGCCCTACGGGCCCTGAGGGTATTCTAATAAATAAATAAATAAAAAACCACCCCTCTGCCCATTCTGTGGAGAAACGAAAATATTCGACATTACTTTTTTGCCATGTCGAAGATAATCTTGCAATATAACTCGACTTCGGATTACCACTCTTTCGAAAACAGGCTTAACCATATCAGGGAAAAATCTTTTAAGCTTCGGTGCCTCTTGCTTGAGATACTTCCGTAGGGATGCCTTTGATGCCGTGAGTAAGTTTATTAGACTCAACGAGCATGATTTCAATCTGGTATTTATAAAGACCTGCGTAAATTCAACAAGGTAAAACACAACCAGGTTTTTTTTTCAAAATTGCTTCCATTAGGTTTTGTATGGCAGTCTGTACGTACTACAAACTGCAAAACATAATACAGTAATCCCTCGTTAACTCGAAGCCATCAAATCCGGGGAAAATTTCGAGATAGGCGGTATTTCAAGTTAAGCAAAAACGCCGAAAATGTTCGCCCAGGTCACTGTACAAGAAAAGCCAGTGCTGCTAGGAAAAGCTCCACTGCACAAAACAGCTACCGTAGTAAAGGCACAAGAATTCGGAGGGGAAAAAAATTTATTACCGAGGACCAAAAAATTGCGTGATGCTCGCCTGTTTCGTTTTAGCGTTCGGTCCGAGAAAAGCGTTCTCCAGTTGCTCAACACATCGCATGAGCCGTTGGTCGCCACCGCTCGTCACCCCCGGAAAATCTTTTCAGGCCTGCGCCCAGCAATCTGACGTCATTTCCGGCCGGCCGACTCTCGGGGAAGCCGCAGCGGCAGCGAGCGCAGCGTGGGCGGCGGTGGTGACGGTTCGGCGGCGTGGTGTTGACGGTGTTTCACGTTTGTTGCTTTCCGTTGTTGTTTTGCGGCAATTTCGTTTCCGTGCGTGATGCTGGAGTGATGCGACAATGCCGAATAAGTGTTGTGTACCCGGATGCACCGGCAACTATAAAACAGGAAAGAAGATACAAGTGTTTTCCTTCCTTAAAGACGCCGACGCTCTCAAACAATGGCTACGCGCCATTCCTAGGAAGGGCTACGCGCCATTCCTAGGAAGGACTTCGTGCCGACTTCGTGCACTAAGGTAAGAATTTGAGATGCTCCTGTTCTTAGCTTGTCGTTGCTTGTTCGGGTAGAAATCACCTATGATGGGAAATACTTGAGCGTGTGGCCGCCGGGCCTCGCGAAGCGCTGACGCCAGCAGTTGAGAATCGCCCAGAAAGGCACGTTCGCAGCAAGGATGGTCAGCTGCGCTGTGTTCACTAACAGTGCCGTGGTGTCGTCCATTCTTGCAAGCTCTCGGTGGAAGCGCTTCGTGGAGTGCGGTGACATCACGCTCCCGTGTTTCCTTTCATGTTGCTTGTACCGCTTAGCGCAGCGCTTTTATTTAGATGCTTGCGAAACGTAGGTAGACTTTGTTTTAGCTACACGGACTGTAAACACGGTCATGCAAACGGGAGCGCATTTTTTTCTTTTGAGAAGTGGCGTCTCAGACGTTCTTGAAACGTTTGTGCAGGTGTGCGCGGATCATTTCGACGCTTCATGCATTGAGAAGACGACATCGTAGACGGATCCAAGGACAGGGAGAGTTATTGAAGTTGCACTCCCAGTACCACGGTTGCGTCCTGGATCTGTCCCAACGGTATTTCCCGGCTGTCCGTCCTACCTATCAGTACGAGACCAGAGCACGAGAGAAACCCCTGACGCCAAGAGGAGCCGACAAGAAGCCTCCCAACTCGCCCGTGCTGTAGAAGAGTCGCTGGCGTCATATGAAGCGGAGCAAGAACGAGACCGGTTTTCGTCCCTCGAAGAACTAAGGGCTCGCCTGCAAGGGGTGTCAGTGTCTCCGAAGTGGACTGTGATTCATAAAGAAGAGTGCTCCATGTTTTTGAACATTATCGACTATCGTGAACCTTGTTTGAATGCGTCATTGACCGTGTTTGCAAACCTTGAAGTCTTTGCCTGCTATCAAGGTTCACCAATCAAGAACCTTGGTAGCGCTGTTGTACCAGACTCACTTCAAAAAGTAAGTTCCTTGTTGGAAATTTTGAACAACCTGTCGATGCTGTCTGAGGAGCGCTGCACTTATTGCCACCTGGCTCAAGCAATACATTCCCTTGTTTGAGCCTTGTTTCCAGTTTTGTATCTCTTTACAAGTTGTTAGCTTTTAAAGGTGCTGTACTTTTTTCTTTTTTTTAACTCGAACTGCCTCGGTGCCCACTGTAGCAGTTGTACAGTCCGTTTTGGTACCTAAGCTGTGTACACTTTCCTTGTGCACTCTGTGTACAGACATGTTGTGCACTGTGATTTGTTTTTTCTTAGATTTTTGTTTGATTTTTTCCCTAGGACATGCACCTACCTGTGGCAGTACAATTACTTTTCTTTCTGTCATTTATCATGCTGTGGACCACAATTTAGTCACCAGTGTTCTTATGTATTGTATTTTTTGGCAAGTGTTTGAACCTGATACCTTGTGTTGCTACTGCTACTATGATAAACGAATGGTATGTTTTCCTCTAACCTACAATTTAAATGAAAGTGTGCTTTTTCTGTTCCAAAGCTCGGGGATGTTTTTGCTGTTACAATCTGTTTTGTTTTCTGAGTTTTATGTGGCAAGATATTGTGTTTTGTACTTTTGGGATATTTTCAGCATTAAGGGCAACATCTTGTGTTGCCTGTCGTCTGCCTGGACCGAGAACAATGTGCACTGTGATATTTGTACAGACGGCGTCTGGCTGTGATAAATAAATACGCATTATTCCATTCACGATATTCATTATTTCTTGATACCTTGATAAGTTCCCCCGCAACGGTGGCTCAGTGGCTAAGGCGTAGCGCTGCTGAGCACTAGGGCGCAGTTTCGATACCCGGCTGCGGCGGCCGCATTTCTGATGGAGGCGAAAAGCGAAAACGCCCGTGTGTACGAGATTTCGGCACACAATAAAGATTCCCAGGTAGTAAAACTTGATCCTGAGCCCTCCCCTACGGCGCGCTTCATCGCCTGCGTTGCGTCAGCGCGTTAAACCATACAATCAATGGATACCTTGATAAATCGTGCGGACATGGTGTCAAGGAACCTCGCCCGAGCCGGTAGGCGTGAAGGGCGCTCGCGGCAAGCGCTCGCGGCTGGCCCAGCCACCCAGCGAAGGGCGGCCGGCCGGCCGGCGCGATGTGACGTCGTCGACGTCACGTCACGTGACGCGCAGGCCTGAAAAGCTTCCGGGGGTGACGCACCGCTGCATTCGACCTTGTTGCGGAGCAAGCACAGCATGTTACGTGTTTCTGTCGTCGTAGGCACTTCTCGAGGCTCTTCCTCATCTGCATGGTCATCTGCGTCGTTCACGGCCATCTCAACGATATCGGCGTCCGACAGCATTCCGGTAACGGGGACGTCGGCCTCGTAGAGCGCATACTCCTCAAAGGCGATCTCGCCGTCTTCAGTATCGCTCACGCAGCCAGTTGCCTTGCGCACTTCATTGCACAGCTCATCACAGCCGCTGAATTCTGCGCCAATGTCTTCTTCGATCGATTCCGGAGCGTGAGAAAACCCTGCATGTGCGAAGCAGTTAGCAATCGCCAGCGGGCGTAGTTGGCGCCAGGCTTCGGCCATCAGATTGACTGCACCCAGCAGATCGATTTCATACTTTTTCCCATTGTCGTATGACAGCAGAATTCGGTGCAGCAGACTTTTCCTATAATACTTGCGGGCCATCTCAATGACTCCCTGATCCATTGGCTGGAGAACGGACGTCATGTTCGCCGGCAGGAACTCGAGCGTAACAGCCGCCAAGTTGTCGATTTTTCCGTGGCCGGGGCAGTTATCCACAACAAACAACACTTTCCGACCGTCCTTTGCCATCTTCTGATCAAGCGCACGGACATGCTCTTCGAAAAGCGCCGCCGTCATCCAGGCTGTTTTATTTGCGCGGTAGGTCACATCCCTCGGGAGCCGTGCATTTCGGAAGCACCTGGGATTCAGCGACTTGTCATTGATGAGGAGGGGCAGCTTTTCATCGCCGGTAGCGTTGGCACCAAAAAGAATTGTTATCCTGTCTTTTCGTTGCTTAGCGTCTGAGCACGCTTCGCCTTTTGGTGTGTATGTGCGGTTAGGCAGCATCTTGTAAAAGAGAGCGGCTTCGTCTAGGTTAAAGATGTCCTTGTCCGCGTACTCCTTTTGCAGCTCGGCTAGGCGTAGCTTGCGCCATGCGTCTGCAGCCTGTTCGTCAACAATGCCGCTTTCGCCGTGGATAGGCTTCGATGACACGTTATTTCGCGTCTTAAACCGCTCGAACCAGCCATTGCTGCAACTGAAATCCGCGTGACCCATCTGCAGTGCCAAAGCGTCTGCTTTCTCCATCATCATTTGGGTTGTCACGGGAAGATTGGCTGCTCGAACGTTTTGGAGCCACAACAGAAGTGCTGCTTCGACGTCCGGGAATTTGGACGCTCGGATGCGCTTCCGCTTGCTTGAGAAGCTTTGCTCGAAGCCTTCCAAAACCTTTTGTTTGTTCTTAAGCACTGTCGAGAGGGTTGACAAAGGGATGCCGAATTCTTTGGCGATGCACGACTTGCTTCGACTTGCTTTTTCCACTTCCTTGATTAGCGCGACTTTTCTCTCCAACGTCAGAGATTTGCACTGCTTTGGGCGGGACATCTTGGTCGATACGGAAGCGTCCGTTGCACAGACCACTCACTACTCAGCAAAACTGAGCTCAAGATGCGTCGTGCACAGATCGCGAGGAAAACAAAGAATACCAGCTCGCACATGCAAGGGCTAGGTTGCGTACTGACGGGCGCATGCTGCACACGCCGCTCACCGCGCAGAAGTCGTGCGCAAGTGCGCACACGTGATCACTCCCACATTTACCTGACAAGGCTGATAGGAAACGGCTGCGTCCGCGGGAATTTCAAATTCGCCCTTCACGACTGCGTTCGGCACGTATAGTATAAGCTAAGCGTTCGCACGGAGCCCTCGTTTCCTGTTGGGAGTAGACTTTGCCTTCTGCCCTCCCTGTCAAGATTTCGAGATATCCACTGTTCCCTCCGGAAAACGTTTCGAGATAAGAGGGGGCAAATACATAGCACCTATGGGAGGTTAATGCACGGCGAAAAAAAGTTTCGACTTAACCGAGATTTCGAGATATGCGAGTTCGAGCTAACGAGGGTTTACTGTACTTGTAGTTTAAATATAATGCATTACGTATTATTGCCATTAACTTCTTTATTTTTAAAATCGCCCACTATTTTTAAATAACATTTAAAAGTGTCAACGTCGCATTCTTGGCCGACCTTTAAAGCGGTTACGTGCCATATATTCTAGGAATGCCAACAAACTACGGGCAGGCGAAGTTTATACGCACTCCGGTGCACACAGTCTTGCCAGGCTTCGTAAGAGACGCATGTTGAGATCTTGGCGCCGATCGATTCTCGTGTGGCGGCACTGATTTTTAGCGAAGACGCGCAGCAGCGTCTCTGGGAGTGTTTTCACACATTTATGTGGGGTTGTCCTTGCTTTCATCAATTTACAGCACCAACAGGCTAATGTTGATCAATCATGTTCTCTCGCCTATGTGCGACGCCACCGCCCTCTGTTTTGAACTGCACATAAAGAAATATTCCTCAGCAAGTCCAGCTCTTATTGCAGGACAGTAACTAAACTGCACGGAGAATCAATGCCTTTGAACACGTCTGTCAAAAGCAGAACCAACTCACAGTGCCAATCTTGCCAACGAAACAAGTTCGCACAGGTATATACTTTTAGATGCGGAGCATCTTATACTCGCGCCTTGTAGTGCGCCGTCCGCACCGCTTCTCGAACATTCGACAGCTGACGCGCGCGCATGCGCCGTCGCGCCGTCGCCCACTCTTCCACCATCTGTGCATCCCTTCCTCCTCTACACACCGCGCGCGCTTCACTCCTCCACCATCTGTGCACCCTTCCTCCTCTACACACCGCGTTCGACATCTACAATTCTCCTGATTCTCCAGTGGACGCGCATGTGGCGTCGCGCTTCGAGAACATTCAACAGCTGACAGTGCATGCGACCGTCACGCTGTATATATACTCAAGGTCGGCGCTCGCTCGCTCAGTTGCCGCTCGTCGGTTGGTTTGTACGGCGCGTCGACGTCCAAGGTCACGGTGAAATGAATTCCAACGAATCCACAAACACAATGATCGACGTCCCTTCGACCAGCGCCGCCCTTTCGCATACGTGTGTACGTGTTCACTCATTTAACACCCCATCCTACAACCACGTTAACCAATTTAGCCATCGACCCAAGTAAGTCGCAATTTAACACCCCATTTCACAACCACGTTAACCAATTTAGCCATCGACCCAAGTAAGTCGCACTTTTTTTTTTCTTTCTTGTTTAGGGCAACAAAAAAATTCAGGTAAAATTAGTGCTGCCTTTTTCCCGAAATAATCAGGACTTTATGCTTCTCTGAGAAGAGCAGCGATGTGCTATGAGAAGCGCGGAATGAACAAATAAAAAAAAAACACCGCCCAAGCACTTCGTACGAACGATTAGCCAGCGGCAGCTGACACGTGTGCCACTGGAGTTCAGCAGCAGTTTCAAACCGACGCTGCACTGAAAAAAATTGCATGAGTGTGCTTCTTGATGAGGTTAAACACACGTTTAGCTTGGCTTTGACATGGTGGTTATTTCATATACCGCACAATGTGGCTCACATTATCACGGTCATTAAGGAGTGTATTGAACGGGTGAATGTACTTAGCAATGTGTTAATCATAGTGGTTGTTCTCGAACCACTGGTGCTCACAGACGTCGCAGTCGAAACCAAAGTGCCACTGGAGAAGCTCCCACCGAAAGCTGCTGTTCGCCTCGGCAAACACGCCCCCGCTGTCATTACGTCGACGCTGTTGGCTTGTTCGACGCGGCAATGCTGCAAACGTTTAGGATCGCGAACTAACTCGGCGGCGAGTTTTGCAGGATGCGCTCGCCACCAGCGCTTACATTCCCGTTCATGATTTGGGGCGACTTGGAAGGCTGCCGGATCATAGGGCCGGCACTCAGTTGCGGCCGCCACTCGGCGTCCCGGGCCTGTTTGTGTGCCCGGACCACGGTGTAAGAGTAGTTTAGGTGGTGACACTCCGCCGTCCCCTCGGCAACCGGCGCGACCACGTCGTGTTCGGAGCACGCGGCGGCGCCGATTTCACAATTGTTGAGGGCGCTGCGGTATGGGGTCCCAGTCGAACCGGTCGAATGGCGAGCGCGGCTTGGCTCACTGCTGCAGTTGGTGCTATGTTGTGCTTTCGTGTTGTGGCCGGGTTTAGAAGCGTGATAATTTAAACTGAGCTGTGTGCGCTCAACCTTCTCGGCAATGGGGAAGAAGTGTTTTGTTCCCAACTGTAATTCAGGTTACAGAACGTGTGCAGAACGAGTGCCGCTTTTTAAAGCTCCGTCGGAGCATGCTCGTTCGGAAACGTGGCGCCACGCCATTCCGAGATCGGATAGGGCGTTGCAGTCGAGTGACCACGTTTGCGCGAAGCATTTTCCGGACGAAATGGTGTGTACAAAGTACTACGCAGAATCAAATGGCAGGGTTCTCCTGGATGCCCCGAAAAGGCCGACGTTGTCCGCGAATGCTGTCCCGTGCATTTCCCGGGTTGTCCAAAGTACCTCACCCGGGAACAAAAGTGCAGGAAGTCTCCTCGGAAGCGACAGCCCACCCCAAGTGACCGGCCCGTCGCAAGAAAAGTCGTGTTGCCTGCGAATTAAGCAGGTGCAGAAACTGAGGAGCAAGCAGCCGATATGAGGCCACTCAACAAACTTCGTGTCGGCAGCTGCGATTCTGCACCATGCCAGGCGCTTTCCAGCGGAGAAGACGCACCCCTTGCAGAAAAGAACCAGGATGGTGACAGCTCCCCATCGTGCTCTTCGTATCCAGGGAAGCCTGGCTTGGATGACGCAAAGGTATTCAGTGTTTATTCATTAAAGTGTACATTTATCCATGACCATTGTTCAAATACTTACCATGTTATGCAGGCGTTCATATTCACCAACGCTGTTCCTTTACTTCTATGTTTAAGCGGGTCTAGAAATTAAATGCCCTTTGAAATGTCTAAAGGTTCGCCGCTTGTACTTTCCAGTAGAATATGCTATCCTGTTACCATTCTACACTAAAAGACGACATTTCAATTAGTATCAACTTTGTAAATCGTACATCTTAGCTCACTTACACGTAGCTGCATCTATTCACCTAGCTTATGTGTTCGGTTACGTTAATTAAACATGTTTGTCTGTTTTTTTTTTCGTTTCTTTTCAAATTCAGAAATCGCGATCTACGGCCTACTGCCAAGAGAGCGGAAAGCATGAAGGAATGCCGGACTGTGCGGAGGATGCAACGCAGTGTCTCTTGATTTCGCAGCTGTCAACCTCAGTTGCCAGTGTTAAACTTCCAGGACCCACCTGGGCAGCCCAGTTTGTTGAAGGTTTTGGGGTACAAGCTGATGTCTTCGCAGAAGCGGCTTTGCCAAAGAACCGCGACCAACCTACTTTTCAGCACTAAACACTTGAGGTAACGGCTACAACGACTGGCACTATGTTAGTGCGCACTTTTATTTATGGCCGTCATGTGAACATCAGCGGTATTGGCGGTGATGTCCCTCTGAACTGCGTAAGTGATGTCGAGAGTGTTGTGGAAAAGTTTCATGAAACGCGTGTGTGTGCTGGTGGCCCTAGCAATGATGTCTACTACGATATCCACCCTGAAAGTGCGTACGTTGATCCGTGTGGAGTGTGGCGGCACAAAAGGTGTTTGTTGTTTTGCAATTCAGGAAGCTGCCAGGCCTGCAGGAGGCTAAACGACACTCTCCGAATCCAAGGTTCTTGAAAAAAGAAGCAAACTACAAGGAAGAACATTCGACTCCTAGCCAGTCCTTCGAAGAAAGCACGTGTGGACCTAATGCGAAAAGCGAGGATCGCTTGCTACAGATCAAAAGTTCGCATTCTTAAAAGCAAAAAAAAGATCGAAAGTGAGTTACTGCCTGCAAATTCAAGCTGGAAAATATCAGCGCTGACACCCTCGAGCGCATATCCCATGAAGCAAACCTGACGGAAGGCCAGCAGCTAGTCCTAAAGGAATGTGTGGATGCTAGCAAAACGGAGTCCAAAAAAGGCCGAAGATACTCGGATAATTGAATCCTGCTTTGCCTTTTGCTCCACATCAGGTCACCTGCTGGATACAGGCTTCTGATGGAGAATGAAGTCCTTGCGTTGCCTTCAGTACGAACCATTCGCCGCTATGTTTCAATGGTGGGCTTCAAATCTGGCTTCGACCACAAGTTCTTCTCTGCCTTGGAAAAAAGAATAAACAAAATGGCCGATTTCAAGCGGCATGGAATAATCCTCTTTGACGAGATGCAGGTCCTCAAAAGCAGGAAAGTGAATTCCAAGAGTATGACCTATGTGGGCTTGACACAAGATGCTGGGGACGATGCCGGAGAACTTGCTGATCATGCTCTAGTGTTTATGTTTTGTCCATTTGGTGATAGTTACGCTCAACTTATTGCAGTATTTGCTGCTAAAAACGCAACTAAGGGGTCAGTTCTTGCACAGTTGTTACAACAGGCAATTGTGCTAATGGAAGACGCTGGTGCCAAGGTTCATGGATTTGTCTGTGATGGTGCT